CATTTAACGATACAGGATTGCGAACGCGTTTCGGCACACGGTGCTTTCATCAGCGCATATAGATATAAAATAAAATAAAATAAAATAAATACTTAAAATACATTGTAGTCAAACAAACGGTACTTTGCGAGGAAGAAACCCGTTACTTTCATTAGCACATGGTGCAAAAAATTCACATGTATTATAGCTTTGTAAAGTATCCATTTTATCCTGTTCTCACAAAATACTACTTGCTCGGTTTCTGCAACTTTCCGATTGCATTTTGGATAAACAAAATGGAGGAAGTAGATGAAATTGACAATTGTCCCGCTATTAAAGAACATTGGATTTCGCAAGATTTTCGTATCTTACAGAAATCCAAAGCCCGAGATCCTCGTTGCGGCAATCGATAGCTCTCATCGATGCATCTAGACGCTCACGAAACAATGTGGGTGTTGTCCAGCCAAGTATGCATAAATTGGCATACGCGTGAGAGCCCACCCCTTCTTCTTCTTCTTCTTTTTCATCATCATCTTCTTCTCTTTCTTCTTCTTCTTCTTCTCTAGAAATGTACGATAATGTACTTCGCGATTCACGTTGAATCGTTAACAAGCTATCGCGCCATGAATATTCCGGGAAATCATATTTCCGATTGTCTCGTTACTCTCTCGTTGCATATAGAGGAAGTCCCCTATTATGAGATAGGATCCTAATATGGAAGAGCGAGGTTTCGGTCAAATTAATAGGCAACATCAGTTGATTTCACCATGAATTTATTGTCTTTGGAGTGAAAACTCTGTTTAGTGGAAAATTCATTGTTGGATTGTGTAATTGTTGCGAAGAAAGATTTGTGAAGGAATTTGGGCGTTGAAAACCTGCTATCTCATATTAGACAAACCTACACAGTTGAGAAATTTGTTTTCTTGTTAAAAAAATGCCGGTTAAGATTTTTGTTTTAAATGCTTAACACATTCATGCGTTAATTTAACATATTGCTCTTGTTATTGACCTCAGATGTAAAATTATTGAAATAACTAAAAAGAAATGTGTACTTATTTTTTAATCTCACACAATACATACGTTCTATATTATTAGTAACGTGATTTATCTATTAAAATTTTCAGAATAAAATGTTGATTTTATTCTATATAACATAAGTGAGTGATTTCGAACCGCCATTTGATTTATTACATCTGTAAAATGTGAAAATTACATTTTGTTCAAAATTCATTTTGTCATTAAAAATATGTTAATTTTACAGAAAATTTATTTTAAATTACTTTAAGATTTGCATTTATTTTGCACAATTATATTGTGTTAAATTAACACAAAAATGTGTTTGGATCGTTTGGGACGCGTGATATCTGTTAAGTTTATCACAAATTTTTCAACTGTGTATTTCATACCATAATGTAAGACTTTCCTCTACAATCTGGAAACTCCTTACTCCGATTCCGTTCAGCGTCGTGTAATTAACTTCATCGACTAAACCATAAAACATGAGCGCGTAATAAATCGTTTGTTTTCCCAATAACCGTTTTCATGCACTTTAACATGATGTGACGCGATAAGCGCCATAAATTCGATCTCCTACTTGTCGGTAACCAGTTAAATAATTCACCAATGACGCCTCGCGTCATCTTCCCCGAAGGACTTGTTACAGGAACAAATAGAGAGCGCTATAAATTTGCT